ATGTCTGGAAAAACAACTGAACACAGGTGGTAGACTGCCAGCTTCGCCTAAAGGCAAACACATTATTTATCAGACTAATAATATACGTGTAAAAACAACTTTCAAGATTATTCATTAAAAATTAACTTTTACTTTTAAAACTGCATCAATAAAGCAGGATCAAAGTAATCGTAAGCAGTTTTTGAACATAAAAGTACTAGTATTAACCTTCAACGAATTTAATTATGCGCTACAAACACATCATACCGACCGGTTATAAAGTTGAATGTAACAGTTCCCTTGATCCTACAATTAAAACACATGCGGATCACGTTCTTCTAATCTTTCAAGAGTTTGATTTGTAAGGATTAGATTTGTTTTTACTAGTTTGACCACGTATTGATATCAGTTAGAGAACCATTGAAAACCAGAACTGGAGTACTGCCAGAAAGCTGTTTCATCAGCCTAGTTTCAGAATCATCGGCAGTACGCACACATCACCAGGGTTCGAACCCAAGACCTTTCGGTTACAAGGCGAGCTGGTATACCATTCATCCATTGGGATCCGATTCAATGGCCAGCCATGAATTCAAAATCACAAATTGGTAGAAGTTAGAATTCATGGGTCGGCCACTGAATCGGGTGCCACCCAGTGGCTGAATGGTATACGAGCTCCCTTTGTAACTTGAAGGTCCTGGGTTCGAAACCCAGTAGGTGTGTTACCCCGATGGTTCCCAAACTAGGCTGATGAAACAGCTTTCCAGTACTCCAGTGCTAGTTTTCAATGGTTCTCTAACTGATATCAATCCGTGGTGAAATTCTAACCGTAAAAGGGTTCAAGCCTGTTTTACTTTCAGCCTACCATGATAATATAATTTTAAAACTAAGGGTTATTTTGCAGTATAATATTTCCCCTTTTCTTCTCTTTTACCTCTTATCTATAATCCTGACCTCTAAATTATGACTTTGACAAAAACACTGCACCAGTTCAACTGCACTTGTGGTGGCCTTTGCTCCAGAAACTTGATTCTTCGTGCTTGCTCGGGAACACCTACCAGTGTGGTGTGGCTTAACGAAGGTATAGTGAAAAACATCAACAGCTCGATATTAGACCACCTGATCCAAACTGGTCATAAAGCTAGCATTGAAGAATCCTTCTCCATCATTTATCGGGTACGAAATAAGTCGCCAAATGCATCCAGGTACTGATCCGCCTTAAACAACTGGTGCTTTGTGGGCAGAAGAAACAGATTCAACTAGCCACTATTACTGCCCTGGCCGTCTGTGGAACCTATAAATTCATGAATTTCGCATTATTATTTCTCCTAATTTGTCTGTTTGATATTCAAGTGCAGTGCTATGTTGATGCGTATTATCACGCTTGCAGACGTTATTTAACTATAATTCATTCATATTATTGATTGATTCAGTGTTATTCAACCCACCTTAATATTGTTAATAGCCCTATTTTTTTCCTTCACGTTCCCAGTGGAACATAGGGCTTCAACCTAGAGCCAGCTTGAATTTTCTGTAGCAGTGTTTATTTTTACAGGATGGGGTTGCTAGCCTCATGCTCAACCTTTCCTTTTTACCAGCATTACTTCTGGCTTGGCGAGGTAAAGGAGTGCGTCGGCCGGGGACCGAACCCCGAACCATATGCATGGTAGGCAAGCGTCCTAACCGCTGTGCCACCGACGCGTTAATAGCCCTAACTCTTTCATTATTATGGATGGATGGATATATAACTGTAGAACCTGATGAAGAGCAGGCTATCGAAAAGAATATACTTTATACAGCAGTCAGCCTTTCCTACTGTTTCAAATCACCGAAAATACTGATTGAGTCATGAAGAAAATAAAAGACAAATTCAGCGAAGAAAATTTTCTTTATCGATGAAACCATTTTTAGGGGCTGTACAGTCGTATTCATATCTACCAAAAATGTATAGTAGTCTATTATAGAGTAATAGGCGGAAGGGAGACATAATTGATATAATTACTCAGAAGTGGCTTTAGAAGTAAAAAATAAAAGTCGTAAATTACGTAGTACTCAACGATAGTGCAAAGGAAGAAATGGTTAGAAATTTGATGAGGTTAAAATTGGTATTGAGTGAGAATAAAGGTAGTTGAGTGTCCAGGTGTGAACAAGTGTGAAGAGGGTATGGAAACGTACAAAACGAACATATGAGGTTGATAATGGTGAATTAATTACTAAAGAAAAAGCAAACTAAAAGTAAAATTGAGAATTGAAAAAATAGAAATTTTTTACAGGGAACGACTAGTGAAGACGTTAAGACAAAGGTAGAATAAGAGACTGGACAAACGTTTTCTGTATACAGAGTTCGGGGTTGTACTGAGGAATCACCGGCGCCTCCGCTGTATAGATAGGTCGAAACCTGACGCCCTTTGTACCATTTGGCCTCACTTTGTAGATGATCTTGAAAGAAGACTCTGGTGGAGCTACGTGACTTGAGTTCACCAAGTGCTCGAGAATTGAGCTAGTAACTGTCTTGCGTTGTCATTTTGCTAACCATCCAGGATAGTGTTCAGAGATGCGTTTGGAAAGTGTGCGCTTTATGCGGCCAATATATCAAGCTTTACATGAGCAGGGGAGTTCATAAACACACATTGAAGTGTCCCGCCCAAAGTGGTAGTTTATCCTTCACTCATCCATTGATCATTTGTCGGCTGTAGAAATTTATCCGTAGCTCAGCCGTAGAGAAGGTTTTCCTCAGTGATCTACATAAGCGATTCTTCACGATCACAGCTGCGGTATCACCTTTAAATTCAACGTTCAACAATAGCAGTTTCTTCGGCACCGTTTGGGTTCTCTTCAGGCTTTTGCTCGATAAATCTTGAAGTATATCCATTTTCTATGAGGACTTGTCTGCGTCGCTCCAGTTCGCCATCTATTATATCACTGGTACATATCCTTCTTATTCTTGAGGATAAGGAGTGGATCAGGCTTCTCTTTCTTCTCAAAGAGACCCAACTATTCGTCAATACAGCCACAAACTCTGTATACAGAAAACGTTTGTCCAGTCTCTTATTCTACCTTGGTCTTGACCTCTTCACTAGTCGTTCCCTGTAAAAATCTTAATTTTTTTAATTCCCAATTTTACTTTTAGTTTGCTTTTACTTTAATAATTAATTCACTATTATCAGCCTCATATGTTCCTTTTGTACATTTTCACACCCTCTTCGCACTTGTTCACACTTGGACACTCAACTACCAACTTTATTCTCACTCAGTACCAATTTTCACCACTCCAAATTCCTAACCATTTCTTCCTTTGCACTATTGTTGAGTTCTGCGTAATTTACGACTTTTATTTTTTACTTCTAAATCCATTTCTGAGTAATTATATCAATTATGTCGCCCTTCCGCCTATTACTTTATAATAGACTACTATACATTTTTGGTAGATATGTATACGACTGTACAGCCTGTGAAGATGATTTCGTCGATAAAGAAAATTTTCCTCGCTGAATTTGTTTTTTCCTTTCCCACTGTGTTAAGTTTTTATACAACAATGTGTGACCAATACTTCTGTAATCAGAATGTTTGAAATATGTTGCACAAATAAATACATTACACCTGTTGCAGAGAAATTTCCATATGTTTTATCATTTTTCTCGAAATTCATAAAAGGAATTTTATTGCATTAACCTCTCGTAATTTTGCCTTTCTTTTAGCATTCTCTAAACACCTTTAATTTTGAATCCAAGTGTTTTAAAAAAAGGTTTCTCCACTGAAATTCACTTTCAATTACATTAGATCGTGACGTAAGAACAGAACTTCTCCACTACTATCGAAAGATAATCTCATTATAAGCAATCGTATAAAATTATCCGCCCGATAAAAGTATAAAACTTGAGCACTGTAGTAGGGTATAACTCTATTATAGATAAGATTTTATTTTGATAAAATCACACACTGTTGTACCTACAAACTCACTCACCTAGACAGGACAAGCTTTGTAGGCTAAAACACCCGGTGGACCCAATTAAACAAAATAATATATAATTTACAAAACACCTTGCAATTACTGCGAGTCAGGTGAACTACATAGGTCAAACTAGTAGGTAGGGTAGTCAGATTGTCGGAAAATAAGAATTTAGCTAAGGTTAGAATGACTGACCCCATAAAGACAAATAATTTAGAAAAAAGAAGCTCAGCGATTGCACTGCATGCATGCATTAACACACAACCAGACAAATGGATGGCGGGACAGAGTCAAAATTCTAAAAAGTATATGGGTAGGTGGAGAGAGAAGTGACTGATTACTGAATCCCAGTTCATCGAGTCTCCAAACACAACATGTGACTCAACGCAAATACCAGAGATACGAAAGATATTATTACCACCAGTCAGTCAAATCAGAGGATAATAAATAATGTCAAAATTTACTCATTTCACATACATCATAACATTCTAACAAGTTACTTATTTTGACTATAAAAGCACTCGTCTTATTTCCCATCTGATTGTATTTGATTGATAACACTAATATTATTATTTCTGAGTGTACATTATCTTATACTGATTTTATTCAAATGTCTAATCATCAATTTCACTCATGTATATAAATGAAGCAAGAAAGTTGTGTAAGTGAGTGACTTGATATGATTATGAGCAGTAACAATTTGTGCTCGCAACGTCGTCATCAGTTAATATTACTGTACAACACTTCATTGTGCGATTTATCAAAATAAAATCTTATCTATAACAGAGTTTTCGGCCCAGTAGCCTAGTGAATCACATTTTGGCATTTTAAACATTGGGTACTTCGTGACAGCCTCTCCAGAAACACTACCACTCATTGATGATACAAGGCCGTCAAGCTGACAAGTTCTTTCAGACCAGCTAAACATACATTCAGAAAAATTTTCAGACCGAGATTTAACAGATTTTCATGTTTTCATTAAATTTCTTAGATTCTTCTGCTAATCGATTACGTACTAAGAGGCAGTGAGAGAGATAGCAAGAAGTTCAATAACAGAATTACTGTATTAGGAACCATTTTGTTTTCTTCACTGGAATACGAATAATCATATCAAAGATGGCGTATATTAATTCAAATCTTCGAGAGAGAAAAAAATACTGAGTTTCATATTAGTATAGTAAGTTGATTTTATCAAATCACTTCACCTTTTCCTTAGTTAGCATTCTCATGAAATATGTAAGTATCATTGTTGAGCGAAATTCTCCTTATGACATGTATACAAACCTGGACCATGTCTCTCTTTAATTATTGTTATAGAATCAATCACTTTGCCAGTGTTTCCCTAAAAAACAAAAAACACGAAAAGATTAGGAAGTTATATAAAAGCATTGAATCTGTTGAAGAAAGTGTGTAACGACAGAATACAACGGCCAGGCAACAGATCGTTTATTGGGAAAATCAACAGATATTTATAGAGTTTTATGTACATTATTATTCGTTATTGTTAGCAGACAGGTAACGTCTTCTGATTGGTTGTTTTCTCACTGGAAGTTATTCTATCATCTCTTTGTGGCCGTTTCTTTGAAGGTCAGACCATCTATCTGCGATTCATATCCGTCCACGCTAAAGCTGTCGTGATTGGTTGTTGTGTTCTTCAAGGTAAGGCTTTGTTCTTGTTTTTTTCTCATGACCAAGATTTGGGACGTAAACATTGACGTAAATTTCGGCCAGCAGACAGCTCTCACCACAAGTATACTGAAGGTAAGTTTAATAATATTCCCTTACTTCTTCTTCGTGTTTGTTTCTCGCATTTCGTCAGGAACATATGCCCTCAGCAGTTGTACTGTTGTTGTTGTTTACTGAGGTGGCGTTACCAGTCTCATGCCTGACCGTCTTTCTCTCTTTCGGCCTTACTAGGCAACATTTGGCAGTAAATCGGCAAGGAATGAAACTGCAAGCCTTTTGGGGAAGGGGCTGATGAGTATTTCACCACATATCGGCTGACGCGTAAATCCGAGAATATATTATGCCTTAATCAGTATTCACTTTCTAAGGAGAACTAGACAGCTGTTTTGCCTCGACTGAGGCCTTTTCAGTAGTTTTGACAAATGAATCTTTCAAGGCTGAAAACCAAAACTTTTAGGTTACGACTCGTGTACGTTTTAATTGTAAGATGGCTGGTGAATTCGCTGAATGCATCAAAGTTCTTCCCTAAATGAACAGTTTATGTTGATTATGTGAATTGGTTGAAGGATTTCATCATGAGCTGAAATCAGTAAGAGAACCATTGGAAAACCACAATAGGAGTACTGGACAGCTGATTCGTCAGCCTAGTTTGGGACTCTTAAGAAGTAAGAACCCAACAACAGAATTTGAACCCAAGACCTTTCGGTTACAAGACGAGGTCGTAGACCATTAAGCCACTTAGACCCTATCCAATGGGCAGCCAGCATATGAAATCTAACTTCTGCGAATTCATGACATAGTGCGATCACTTCGGAATGTCTTCTTCGATAAGATACTGCCTTACCTTCAAAATGCTGCACCCCACTGGTCTTGGCTTCCCACTAGAACCCCAGGTTAACTGCCTGAATAGGGCCAGTCGCTAGTGAGCATGTAGCCTTGTGACCAGAAGGTCCTGGGTTCGAACCCAGTAGGTGGGCGCGTACTGATGAAGAGTCACAAAGTAGGACGAAACAGCTGTTCAGTACCCCCAGGTTTTCTAGTGGTTCTTTAACTGATGTCAGCTCATGATTAAATCCTCCAACCAACCAAATTAAAACCCTACAAAAATCAATACTTGAAGTTTATGTGAATGTCGAAATCTGTCTGTGACACATAACCATGTAGTGGAACAATGTAAAGGACTTGTAACTTTTTCATTGGCTGGCGACCACTAAATGTCACTCGTAAAATGCTTATCTGTGAAATAGGACATGGTGTAAAGCGGCTGGAAGCGACTGGTAGCAAATCCTGCCTGACCTAGATTTCGTACTAACTGGAACACATCATCAGAGTATATCTGCAACCTCAAATGAACTAATGTCCCTCCAGCGATTCAAACACACATCATTCAGTGTTACACTCAAAGACATCACCAATAATCTATTTAAGCTCATGGTCACCTTGCTGCGGAACTGTAATTGATGTATTGATTGGTCAACAGAGAATAGCCAGTGTCGTGTTTCTTGGAGGGAGGAATATCACCTGCTTGGAGGTATCAGTTACGTATTGCTAAAGAATGCCAGCAAGCCTTGAAACTACGCCCACGGCTTTGTGAATAACGGATAAACGTGTACCATGCATTCACACGACAGCTTAGCACTACCTGTGATGACTTCAAGTCAAGCCAATTTACACTCTCCAGATAGACTCAGTAAATTTGCGTGATATTCGACTTGAAAGGAACATATTCCCCCACTTTCGAGAGTACCGCCTGGTTTGGATGAATAAATGAGAAAGTAGAGCTATTATTCGCCTATATTACAATATGTAGTAGATGAAAACAGCACAACCTCTGAGGCATCCTTCAACATCTTCCTACAAGGTTTGTAAGGCGGAAGCCTCGGCATAACATAACATAAAACCAAAACATTATGTACAAAATAATCTGAGCAATATCTTATGTTATCTTGAACTCAATATATTATGTGATTGCAATTATTAGTGTTCTCTCTGCTGGTCGGTTTAGTTGCGGAGCTTTCGTCGTCCACCCTCTGGACAACGTCCTCTTTCAGCGTAATTTTTAGCATAAAGTGAACTGATTTAAATTTTTTCCATGAGTGATAAAATTGCGTGTCCCGGTAATTATCTTTACATGTGTACTGACCATTTTTTATTGACTTGGATTTTAAACATTCTGGTCACATGATTTACTTTTTATTGGTTGGTAGGTTTGGTCTATATTAACGTGTTTGTTAACTGCATATTTGCTTGAGTACCAGGCTTCTAGGAATTCCCTGACGGCACCTTTGGTGTTTCCTCTGTCTAAGATTTTGACATTATATCGTGTCTTTTCACAGCTGATTTATGCTCCTGGATTCTGATTCGAAGGAGACGTCTACTTTGGCCGATGTAATGTCTATTATAGTTAATACAATTTATTTTGTGAATGGTATTAATTTTATCTCCTTTTTTGTTGGATCTTTCGGTTCGCACAATATCGAATGAAGTGATTGTGCTGGCTGGCTGGTTTGTGTGCTATATCTATTTCAAACGGTCTTGATATTCTACCCGTTATTTCAGACATATTTTTTTGTATATGGTATGGTGAATTTTCTTATGGTCTTTGATGAGGGTTTCTTGTTAATGTTGTGATTCCATTTTAGACACATTTTGATTAAGTTGTGAGGATAACCATTCTTTTTGAAGACTGTCAGTAGGCATCTTTTTTCCATTCTTTTCTAGGCTGGAGTGCTACAGTGTGTTTGAATTCGTTTAAACAATGTCTGGACACAGTTTCTTTTGTGAGTAATTGGGTCATTGCTAGAATAGTTGAGTATTTGATCTGTGTGCGTTGATTTTCTATATACTTGTGTTTCTAAATTTCCTGCGATGATCCCATTGGTGCACCTTTTATTTGTTCATACATTTGATTATTGAATTTAAAGTGTGTTGGAATGCATAATTTTATGAGTTCTTTCCAAGTTGAGCATTGCGTTCTTATGTTTTTATCACTATAGAGAACACTAGTAATTGCAAATCATCGACCTGAGCTACGAATCTTCTCTTTTATTTCAAAATATTAAGTGATTCACAAAAATCCCCTATTCTTCTTTATTTAATGCTGTTCCGTCCGATTTTATTTTACTTTGCTTTAGAACATTCTAATATATTATTTCCCTTTTATTCCAAGCTTGACGAGGAACTGGGGTCAGTTACAGAAATCATTGAAAATCAACATGGAATACTGAACAATTGTTGCATTCTAGTTAGGGACTCATCAGAGGTATGCGACCATCAGATTTCGCATCCAGAATCTTCAAGTCACAAAGCAGGCTTGTAGACCATTCAATCAATGTTAGCCGATTCAGTGGCTAATGAATTCCAGCTTCTACGAACTGCTGCCAATCGTCATCCTTCCACCTGACCAGATGAACCCCACTGATCAAAACTTCCCACTAGAACCCTAGGCTGCTAGTCACTGAGGAGCATCAGATTTTTATTGATGATAGTTAATTCATCTTACTTTTTGCCTAATACCATTTGATGTGACCAATTCTCATATTCATATTTCTCATTGCTGAATGTGATTAATCTTTGTATAAAATAAAAATTGCCCTATCATCTACTTACTGACATCTATTGAACTTTGTGTTGTTCACAATTCTAATCAATTTATTCATATGAACTGTGATCAGTATTTGATCGAATTGCTCCAAAATAATTAGGTGCCAAGTAAAAAGTAGACATATGTAAAATTTAATTCAATTTTAGATTTTCCTGTCGATTGATTGAATCGAAGTGTTCGGTCCCAGGTTCACATGTCGGCTTCTTGTAAGGATGCTTCGATGATGTCTGGGCATATAATTCGAAGTTAATTGGTTGATGGTGACTAGCAATGAAATCCAGCATAAGCATTTCGTCCTATTTCGGAATCCCCATCGGGATGTACCTGCACTGGGCACTGGGTTCGAGTGTCGGTGGGAACATCATCACTCACTGCGGAATGCAGGTACATCCAGCCACCGACGAGTCCCAAATAGGATGAAATGTACTTTATCCTGGATTCCACTGCTAGTCACCATCCACCAATTAACTTCTAATATGTGAAAATTAATAATGTGTAAACGATTGAAGTACTCAATAGTCCATGAACTCTAACTTCTACCAATTCGTGAATTTTAGCGCGACCACCAGTGGGTGAGTACTGCCAATGAATCGCAAACTGGGATGAAACAGCTGTCCTGTCCAGTACTCCCTGATTTTCAATGATTTTCTAACTGATATCACAAACAAATCAAATTTGTAAGTTTGAGGTCAAATTTTGATTAGAGTTCATATAATTCTGTTTGTTCATTATATTTTAATGTCTGCTTCATGACTCATATGATTGGACAACAATTTTTAAAAACAAAAGATATCCTTTGTTTTATATATAAACCTCTGTTATGTTAATTTCGATTAATTTCCCTGAAGAAGTTTGGATCAGTTTGCCGGACGTGGGAAACTTTGGAATTAATCATTTGAATTTTGCTGAGATTTTACAAATTATTATTTTTGAAATATCCGGTCAAATATTATTAAAAACAAAAACTTATCATTGTGTTTAAACTATTTAAATATAATTATAATTTTGAAGTAATAGAGAAGATTTGTAGCTCAGATGGATGATTTGCAATTAGTAGTGTTCTCAGAGCTGGTTGGTTTCGTTGTGGAGCTTTCGTCATCCACCCTCTGGACAACATCCCCCTTCAGCTCAATTTTTAGCATAAAGTGAACTGATTTAAATTTTCACATGAATGCTAGAATTGCGTCTCCCATCATCAAAGACTACAAGAAAATTCATCCTACCATATGTAAAAATTATCTCTGAAATAACAGCTAGAATATCAAGACCGTTTGAAATAGATATAGCATAATCACTTCATTTGATATTGTGTAAACCAAAAGATCCAACTAAGAAAGAAGATAAAAATAATACCATTTACAAAATAAATTCCATGAACTGTAACAGGCATTACATCGGCTAAAGTGGGCATCCCCTTCGAATCAGAATCTGGAAACACAAATCAGCTGTGAAAAGACACGACATATATTCTTTCATATCAATGCATGTAGATAGCTGTGGAAATCAGTTTGATTGGGATAATATTGAACTTTTAAACAGAGGAAACACCAAAGGTGCCGTCAGGGAATTCCTAGAAGCCTGGTACTCAAACGAATCAGCCAGCGGTTAACAAACATGTTAATATAGACCAAATCAACCAACTAATAAGAAGTAAATCATGTGAACAGAAAGTTTAAAATCCAAGTCAAAAGAAAATGATCAATACGTATGTAAAGATGGTTACCGTGAGACGCAATTCTATCACTCATGGAAAATTTGAATCAGTTTATCTTATGCTAAAACTTGCGCTGCAGTTGTTGTCCAGAAGGAGAAGAATGAAAGCTTCTCAATTAAACCAACCAGCTTAGAGAAAACTAGTAATTTCATAATTATTATTTATTTAATTTTTACTTATGTCTGATCAATTTATGATTGATAATAATCGAAACCAATATTACCACAGTTTAGTATTTCTATGCACTGTCATGTTGTAGCAACAGAAGGCAAGACACGGAAGCCAAAATATACTTTCAAGTGATCAAACCGCTATTTATATCCATACAGTTTATGCTCTTTCACCAATCACTGAGCGTGTGATTTTGGTATACACATTAGACAACATAAAATAGAATGTTCAAATATATGTTACATTACGTTGCTAATGCCGAATTGAACTGTGGAAATACGTGAGAGTTACATTCGCTGGAACATATTGTCCGGATCACACCTCCACATTCGTCCGCCCATCAAAAACTTTCGACTGAAGTCGGTTCGATCTTCTTGCTGCTAGTGGCTTTGTTAGCTTATCTTGCTGTATTGATTTTTAGAGCTCGCTCACGTTCATCCGCTTCTCTTTGTATGCATTTCTGAACGTATATACGTGACTCCGTCTCACGGTGACCATGCATGCTACTTCCCACTTTGGAAGCAGTTTGCGTGACCCTAGGGCTGGCGCGTATTCGCCAGTGTTTCGCCTCACACTATCATATGCTGCCTTCACGTGACCTCTTAGCAGCTTTCCAAGTAACAGCCTCGTCGCTGACGGAGCTTAAACATTATTTAGCTGCTTAATAGCCTCGAAGTCCTGCAAGAAGATCCATATGTTTCCTTCTTAAAAAACTGAAGGGCATAGGCTTTCCATTTGTCGACAGCCAGTGACACCAAATGTAACAGCGGAATGCAAGACACGGAAGCAAAGGTATATTTTCAAGTAATCAAACCCCTGTTTATATATAGTTTATATTCTTTAACCAGTCACTGAGCGTGTAACTGTGGCATTCACACTAAACGACATGAAATAGAATGTTCAAATACATGTAGTATTCTCTTGTTGAAGCAGTATTGAATTGTGGGAATATGTGAGAATAATATTCCGTTGGAACACACTGTCTGTATCACACCACCACAATATTATTACTTATTTTCCCTGAAGTATTTGTTTATGCGATGAATAGGTTAGACTTTCTCTAGGCTTCATAAGATGCCAACTTTTAAGCAAAATCTCTCTGTTTTTCTTTGCTTTTCCATTAGCTCAATTAGTCAACGTGGTATATACTACTGATTAATATAAAAGTAGTAGGAAATCACTTACACACTTAACAAACAGTAATCCTTGCTGAACCGTTGATTCTCTCTTTCGCAGTAGAGCTCATCACTTAATGGTGTGTGTATATCAGTCAAGTTTCTCAGTCTCTAGGTTTAAAATTCACTGTCACGATATCATTTCTGGGGTGCGAAACATATTCAGATCGTCAAATTATATCGTGTGCTTGATACCACAGCCTTCTGCATTCCTCACTTTCCTAGTGGAACATACAGCTTATTGGTTTTGATGTTTCAGTAGCTCTAGTGGGGTATTTATTTCGAACAGGATGGGGTTGCTGACCTCATAGTCGACCTTTCCTCTTTTCCAAGATTACTGTCGAATAGTAAACTAAGCAAGGTTTAAGACTGCGTTATCTGCGGGGAATTAGACATTGGTAACACTTATGTGACTGAACAAAAAAGCAACAAAACTATAGAGTTTTACCTCTTCAACTGAAATCTGTTCAATGTCCAAATGAGTTGAATTGTGTATAGTCATACGAGTGAATCCAAAATCGTTTGTTCGAAACGCTGACCATGGTTTACCGCCATCTATAAATGTATCTCTGCCTTCATCTGATCCAGCTGCTCCACTGACAATATGAACTGGGGCATTAGGATTTTTGTAGGGATTTTCACTAGATGTTGAATTGCAAACCTGAGTTCGTAGAATTTTCAGAGAAAAAAACAAAAATTCATGAGAGCAACAAAACAGAAACGTTCTTAGTTTCTCAAATAAGTTATTCAATAGCCATTAATGCCCATCTGTATATCATAAAAGTTTCCAGTATGAGGTTGTTGGAATTTGTCTGATTTCTAATTGAACTTCATCAAGCACTAGCATCCGTTTGAGAACCACTGAAAACTAGAGAGCCACGGAAAGCTACCTCATTGGAGTTTCTAGGTCGAAATGTAACACATTTAGGGATCGACCTCGGAACCTATTGCTGACAAAGTTAGCCCATGAACTATTTGTTCACAGAACCGTAATCCAGTGACTTTTGAATTACATCTTCTTTTAGTTTGCAGTATTTATAGCCACTGCCAACCAATATCGTAGGCAAGTGTCTGTCCCTGAACCTGTCTTAATGTACCCCACTGGTCACCATTTCTCACTACAATCCCCTCAGTTAGTCACCAGCAAACAGCGTAATAGCTCATAGGCTACCGAATCCTGTTCCTGTGGCTTACCTCGTAACCTGAAGTTCTTAGGCTAGATCCTATGTGTAGCTATGGGTGAATAAACCTGAAGCGTCCCGAAGAGTGGCGAAACATCTATCGAACACCCTCTGTTTTAAAATAGTTACCGACGAGACTAAATTAACTATCTGAAACTAATAAGTTGACGTAATATATTATTGAACCTACCATTCTTCGACTTCTTCATCTCGTATTTCAAAAAGCCATTTGTTACTAAGTAGTCAGAACACCAGGACACACTCTCCAACTCTCCTCTATGAAAGACATGTGCATCAAGCTACCCTATATGGGGCATCATAGCAGCTTGATAACTAGACAGAGATTGCACGCTGCTGTTAAAAAGACTTTTAATGCAGCTAATATCATAATAATTGAGAATGTGAAGCCAATATATCCATCCATCTAAGCCCTTTGAACATGAGCAAAATGATGTTACATCCCACTTTATTTGCCGATTTGAATGTACGTGTGGACACACATACATAGAGAGGAATCATCGATCTCTGCAAGTAACGGCTGGCTTCAGAGCATATTCCTAAATGGCTCCAGAAGCAAATAGAATCATCAGAACCAATTAATGCTGAGAACAGGAGACCTAGCTCATCTAATGCGAAGCATATTATTGAGACAGGACATGAAATTGACTTTAACAGATCTTTTAAACCTATCTATAAAACGTGTTTGTGGCGTATCCTAAAGTTTGTGGAAGCCCTATTTGGCAATTTGAAAGTTTAAACCACCTTTATACGTTCAACGCAACAATTGGTCATCACCATAAACCTTCCTTGGTAAACTTTGTCTTGATACTAGTGAGTGTAGATGTACTTTTACCTCTGTTATTTGGTTGAGAGATCTTCAGTGTTATATTTTGACCTTCAATATGTCGTTTTAACTTGACCTGGGTCTATTTTCTCACCTCATAACTCTTTATTAATTTCACATATGTTCCTATGACAAGCCCCTGTCTGATTAGATTGTTCGAAATGTGTTGTGAGAATACATTACACGATTCAGACAAATTACGTCTTCTTATTGCTTTGTCTAAATACTAAGCATTTCATAATTTTTCAGAAATTAGTCTGTGGCGATTCTATTTGCTCAGGTTCGACCACGGATTGACGTCAGTTAGAGAACCATTAAAAACCAAGGAGTGATAGACAGCTGTCTCGTCAGTCTAGTTTGGGACTCATCGGCAGTATGCAACCACTGTCAAATTTCAAACTCAGGACCTTCCGGTTACAAGGTGAGCTCGTAAACCATTCAGCCACTGGGACCCACCTGACTCAGTGGCCAGCCCATGAATCCTAACTTCTACTAATTCATGATTTTAGCGCAACTGGCAGCAACCAATGTCATCAATGGGAACTCCATTCTCACTCCCGACTGAATGGACTTCACTGGTCACGATCTCTCAATAGAACTCCAGGCAACTTCGTCCTGTAGCCAGTCATAACTGACATGTCCATGGATTACAAAGCTGCGATATGATCATTAATACATGTGGTGGTTGTGCTAACGAATTTTCTACCTAGTTGATTAGCAAGCCTGTTGTTCTAACCACTGTTAGCAACAACGACAACAACAACAACACGATACGACACCACCGTAACTGTGATGCAAGAACAAAATACAGGCCGTTGACGTAGAGAGATTTACTTTCTGGTATTAACGGTGAAAAATGGTTAACAGTGCTTGCGTATATTTATGCTTCAAGTGACCTTGAGACACACTAATTGCACTGATAAGTCAAAACAGTCAACAACCAATAGGATTCCAAAGTCATAAGTTGGGTGAGGGAAACACAACCACCATTGTAAGAGTGCATGTAGTAATTTAGGGAAATTATATATGTATATATATCAAGTTGGTGTCCATCACGAATGCGGTTATTGCATTTAAACATGAAAATTAAACAATGACTGACCAATTTCTTCGTCCCCTCCACCTCCTATCGCAGTTATTAATACTGAGAAATTAAAACAGAACTTACTCAACCTGATTGTGATATATGTTGTATTTTAAATCCCACCTCTAATTCATGTGGTTAAGTTCACAAGGTATCACTCAGTGCTCACAGTTAATAAATAGAATTAAAAGAAATTCTTCGTTTTCAACAATCAATATCAATAACAAAAGTTGTTATTGCACTACAACCCAACAATATTATAACACACCAACTGACAATATCATCGAATATTTGGAGTGATTCTTATATACATCTCCTGCTTATGAATTATGCAAAGCCGTTATTATTATTATTTATAGTCACATGTGGCTTAAACAGACAGACATCCACGCTCTAGTATGTAACTGTTGACGGAAAAAATGCCAGACCAGTGTTAATTGTTATATATATATATATATATAGACTCCACACAGTGTTTTTGACTCAGGTATAGAATTTTCAGCATGTGATATCGGTAGCCCAGTTTTTGCAGGCCGTCCATCGTTATCGGGTGTTTGTCGGCCGGGAATCAAACCTCGGACTATGTGCATGTTCGGCGGGCCTCCTAACCGCTGTGCCACGAGGTATTATTCATTCTCTGTGGGCTTTCTCTAAATTGACCTCTGGAGACACCACCAGCTTCTAGGCGTTGCATGGCAGTGTCAAGGAATTGAAACTTTCCATCACTTTTCATGTTCCTTAGTAAATTCAATATTTGTATGTGAGTCGTTGAATAATCTGAGTAGGTAGGAAGCATGACTTTCACTGTTACGCACTACAAATGTGTCACTAACATATTGGCAATAAGAAGTTGTTTCATCGATTGCATGCTTCAACTTTGTTCTTTCGAGGTTGAACGTGAAAACGTCTGCTAAAACAGGGCTAATTGAACTGTCCATAGGTACACCATCTATCTGGCAGTAAACAGTGTGATCAAACTGGAATTGCACATCCTTGTTACACATTAGCAGTAGGCGTTTGAATTCAAATAATGGGAGGGGGAAAAGGTCAGAATGCTGACAAATGATCTCAATAGTTTCACTGATTGTGAAGCTTGTGAACAAGGAGGTTACATCAAACAACGCCATGAACTTATTTGAAACGTTCATCAAATGGTTCACTCTTTCGGTAAAATGAAATGAATCTTTCATGGTGTACAAAGCTCGCCGTTGACGAATTGGATCCAACTTTGTAGCAAGCCAATGAGCAACTCTGCGCTGAAACCAGTCGCTCATAAAAAGTATAGGCCTCAGGGGGACATGGCCTTTATGTGTGTTTGATAGGATTTATATGTAGGGAGAACGGGACCCTCGAGGATTTAAATCATTATAGACATCACTGTGAATTAATTTCTTCTCTAGGAGATATCTCAATACGTTTGTGATGCGTTTCTCAGTTGCATCTGTTTTATCTTTCTGAAAATTGTCAACTTTAAACCTCACCGTGTCATTTAAGAGAGTTTCCATCTTTGTACTCTAGTCATCTCTTTCCATTACTGAGCCTATTTCAGGTCGCAACTGACGATTTTGTCATTATTTCTGAGAGCGTTCAATGTTTTTTAATGTTCCTCAGAAAGGATTTTGGAATAGGACGTTGGTGAAATGAGGTATTGATTTGCATCATCTATCAGTTTAGATTTAAACCAGCTCTTCTTGTCCTCGTCAACTGGAATAAGGTCAAGCAACTGATAGAATACGTTTTCAAAATGAGCTATGGCAAAGTTAGTCGGAATATGAAAGTTGAATCCGAGGGAAAGTGCTTCCATTTCATTTCTAATTAACTTCAAACTCGACAGATTGCAGATAAACTTCTCAGGATTTTCTTAGAAGACGTCACACAATTTTGCCTCTGTCAGGGATTTCTACAGAGTTCTGTAAACGTTTGCAGATGTTTTCCTTGTAAACTTCTATGATAAATCTAGATGTAAACTTTTTAGAATAAAATTGGTCTGCCGAGGGAGAGCGCTAATGAGTAGTTGCGCTACAGGATGATACTGAATGCTGGTCACACCTAACAAAGCGCTGGGATAGGCGTGTGAGGTTTTCCTGGAAACCAGTGTTCAGTCAATGGTTGCGTCATTATGAGAGTCAGTGGTCCAGTGATAGGACACTCGCCAACCACGCAAGTGGTCTGGGGATCGATCCCAGGGCGATGCACTTCCTAGACCTCGCTAAGCCATGAAGGAAGTCAGGCAAAGAGGGAAGGTTTGACGTGAGGCTAGCACCACTACTAATCGAACTTCACAGCGCAAGCTTGAAGCGATATGTTCAACTGGGAATAAAAAAAGAATAAAATTTTAAAAAAGCAGCAAAGACTTACTGTTCTGTTATAAACTGGCCAAAATCTTTCATAAGAATGTTCATGACCTGCGATAATCACATCTACACCATATTCATAGAACAGATCTTCTAAACCCATTAAATATGTTTTAGGATAATGATGACGTTGGGAAATATCAAAACCAGTTCGTACAATATTATCAACAAAATCACAGTGCATTGGATCAAAATTATTTGAACAATACATTGGTCTATGACCCATTACAATAATCCAAGGACGAAGTTTACGATTCTCCGGCTTGTTTGCTACCTACAATCGGAGAAAAATAGAATCAAGAAACTATCAATAAATTAAATTTAGAACAACACATTTAAGCAAACAATATTGTTTTCAATTAGATCTCATCAGGCTTAACCCTAATATATATAAGTTTACAAATAAAAATTCAAATATAAACCAATCATGGTGTTTTGTCTAAATGATAATACGATGGTGAATATAAATTGTGCAATTAGTCATAATGGTAGTAATGATAATAATAATAATAGCAATAATAAAAATGGTCTTATCAATAATAGGGATGAAAAAGTGAGGCAATCTGTGATAACACCAATAATGAAAAACAGCATGATTAAACAAACAACTGTTCAGGTGGAAGTAGTCAATAAACGCTAGTAAAAACAAATGAACCGATTAACTAATGTTAGATTGTAAGGAAAAGAAATGAAACATGTTAATAATGAAGTTAAGATTAAGGGATGATAAGAAAGGGGTTGAAAATATAAACAAAGGGTGGTGTAGAAGTCACTAGTTGGTTATGTCTTAATAGGCCAAGGTAGGGATAATGGCTGCGTACGAACTTCTTTTGAATACATAGTTTAGGTTTAATAGTTCGAATGCCTATCGCCTCAGCTGTGTGTAGTAGACGAATACGAAGTCTATTGGAAAGATTCGGTGGGATACGATGAATTACTTTGAAGGCTCTTGTTTTCTCGATTACATGACCACTATCAATTAAGTGTGACAAAATTGAGCTACGGATTGTTTTTGTCTGTCCTTTTCCAAACCACTATGGGAGATGTTCAATAGTGACACGTTGGCTAAGCTGTCTAGTAGTACGCTCAATATAACTGACACCGCAGGTGCAGTTGAATTGATAAATGCACATAGATGTGGCGAAATTATCAAGCTTATCCTTCGTTTGCATCCCAATCATTCATCGGCTAGAGAATGACAAACATAGATGTGCTGCAAAAAATGTTCTTCGTATACTCCTTGAAAGTCTTTGGAATAGAATCACACTTGATAAGTCACCATTAAATTGTAACTTAGTAAATAGAGGTTTCTTACGTGCAGTCAGAGTCTCCGGTTTTTTCTCCGATGTTTCCATATGTTTCTTTATGAAACCACTCGGATAGCCCATCTCCGTCAAGGAATCGTGAAAATATTCAAATTCCTTTTGTAAGAGGTCCTCAGTACACATCTTTCTTGCCCTGCTCGCAAGACATTTTACAACATTCCTTTTATATTTAATGGGCACGTAACTAAGGAAGTGTGTGTATTGCCCTGTGAATGTGCTTTTTCTATACACGCTTCTCCCAAGTGACCCATCTTCTCTCCTACTTAGCAAAACATCCAGGAAATGTAGTTTATTCTCTTGCTCCTCTTCGCAAGTAAAGGTAAGCGAAGGGTGAATGTTGTTGAATTTCAGCAACAATTTGTCTATGTTAACATTCCCATCAGCTAAGACAAATGTATCATCGACATATCGGTAATACATATCAAAATGCTTGATGATGTCCTTCAATTTCCCGTTTTCAAGTTTTACGAGAAAGAAATCAGCTAATATTGGGCCTAATGGTGAACCAATAGCTATTCCATCTACTTGTCGATAGTATGAATTATTGAAGATAAAGTGAATTTTTATTTGTAAACTTATATATATTAAAAGTCAATCTGAACGAAGGATATTCTTTTCAATAATTTCTCTTCAGGTTCTTACCTGAAGATTGACTTTTAATTCATAATATGGGAATTTTCCACACTATCAAATCTTATATATATTAGAGTTAAGCCCGATGAGATCTAATTGAAAACAATATTGTTCGCTTAAATGTGTTGTTCTAAATTTCACTATGGGAATATTTAATACAATAAATTAAATGGACAATATGTGTTTCAACAATAAAGATTGAATTGAGCATAGTGAGTAGTTTGGGGGAGAGTTTTTTTCAGATGTCTTGATTAAAGTGACGCTGACTGACTGACTAACTAACTCTGTTGGTACGCTGAACGTTCCGAGGTAAATTTAATAAACTCATCTAAAACAGGTAATTTACACAATTACCTGCTCTTATCTACTTTTAAAACATTAGTAAAGATGAGGTTGAGAAACGCGTTTTTAAATTTTTGTCATTGCATCGTTATGCCTTCATTTTACGATGGATTTTCAATTTTCCCTAACTTGGTCTAACTTAGATTTGAATAATTTTGGTATCTCCACTCACAACCATTCGAAATTTCCAAGTATTGGTTTTGCAAGGATTTAGTTTGATTGGGTGGAGGATTTCATTATGAGCTGACATCAGTTATGGAACATTTGGAAAACCTGCAGGGAGTACTGGACAGTTGTTTCGTCCTACTTTGAAACTCTTCATCAGTACGCACTCACCCACATAGTTTGAACCCAGGACTTTCTGGTTACAAGGCGAGCTCGTAGACCATTGAGCCACTGGGACCTAATCCAATGGCCATAGGTACAGCAGGTTGAAGATGAGGCAGTAACTCATCGAAGAAGACATTGAGAAATGGTCACGCTACGTCGTGAACTGGCAGAAGTTATAATTCATTGGCCATTGGATTGGGTCCCAGTGGCTCAATAGTCTGCGAGCTCGCCTTGTAACCAGAAGGTCCTGGGTTCGATCTCTAGTGGATGAGTACTGTGAAGAGTCCCAAACTAGGACGAAACAGCTGACCAGTACTCCCTGCAGGTTTTCCACTGGTTCTCTAACTGATATCAGCTCATGATGAAATCCTGCATCCATTCGAAATTGACTTGTTTGGCTGGTGTCACATAAAGTGCAGTTGGATGTGACTCATTCAGAGTTGGAATGAACACATTCAGGCAAAAGGACAATATAGGGATTACTGTTGGACTTTCCAGCTTGAAACAATCAACTAAAGTCTCTTTCTAATCTAACTAAGAAGAACAAGACAGAAATGATAGAGGAACAAATCACACAGGTTCTGAAACGAATGAAGAATGGTTCATTATTGACAACCGAGCTATATGAAAGGTTAAGACCCTCTGGGTCAATCATTCCTCGTCTCTATGGCGTGTTGAAAATACGTAAATCTGGATTACCAATGCGTTCAATTATAGATTTGGCAGGTTTACCGTATCACTATCTCGTAAAATGGGTGGCAGAACTCTTGGAACCACTAAGAAGGCAAGTCTTTAGCTATTCTTTGTATGCCACTTCTGGATTTGTTAAGTGCATTAATGATATTAATGTTACTGGGAAAACTATATTATCACTTAATGTTTGCTCACTTGCTACCAATGTTCCATTCAATGAAACTGTATGCCTCATTTGTCATTACATATACTTACATAATGTAAACGTAGTAATGCCCACATCATACCTAAAAGAGCTCATAGTTCAATGTACATTAAATGTCCAACTTCTTTTCAACAACGAAATCTGTAGACAGAGATATGAGGTAGCTATGGAGTCAACACGTGGTCCATAGCTAGCAAACTTCTGTTTGTCTAGTTTGGAAGGCGGTGCTCTCACACCTTCTACAAAAGATACGCGGATGACAAGTTCATCACATGCGACGAGAAATGCTATTCGAATGACATCCTGATGGTATTCAGTGACAATCATCCTGCAATCCGCTTCAACTCAGAAAAAGAAACTGAAGGAAAAATATCTTTCCTTAGTGTGCTACTCACAAGAACAGATGACGAGTCTTTGAAAAGATCTGTTTACAGAAAATCGACTTGGACAGGACAGAAAAATGACCAATTTTTACATTTTTGTCCCCATAGACAGAAAAAGGAATATAATCCTTTCTGTCTCAACACGGGTTCGGAGAATTTGTAGTGAAGTTAGTGTTTATGATAAACTCAAACATGTGAACGAAGCCCTCATAGAGAACGGATATCCACTACGCTTCGTAGAGGCGAATAGCAAATTACGTGGAAGAAGTCCAGAGATTGACAAAGTGGCTAAAAGAATGCTACACCTAGACTTTGAATTTCGGAGTGACACTGAGAGTGAATTACTTAAAAATCTTCTGACGAGATCATCGAGAAAAACGTTCTTCGCTGCCACTTTACGAATAACCTACTCTAGCTGTCCTCTGGTGCACCTTAATGTATAGGAAATGTCACCTCAATTATCTAATCCTATGTGCATTTATGTGTTCACCTGCTCTTGTTGAGCTAGTAACATAGGATGCTCGTCGAGAAACATATCCCACCGAGTTCGAGAGCACCTTCCAGATTGGCTGAGCAAAGGAGAATGTAGAGTTATTAATTCATCGCTATTGCAACATATTGTAGATACTGACCATGCAGCATCTCACACATCATTTAATATAGTCTACAAAGTCCGCCAAAGTTTGCCGAAAGGGACACGAGTGCATTTGCTTTGTATGGTAGAGCCTTTAGCAATACATAACATAAAGCCAGAAATTTGTGTACAAAAACAATTTGTACGGTCTCTTTCGTTATCATGGTCTTAATTTTACTATGTAATTCACATAACAACTTTGTTATCCTTCTTTATTCCATGTCCCATTTTTGTTTCATCTCTTTTCACCTGGATTTCGCGGATGATTTATGTTTGATGTCACACAAAATCGAAGACTTACAAGCGAAAACCGACAAACTGGTCGAAGAAGCAGCAAAGACAGGACTCCAGGTGAACATAGACAAGATGGAGGTCATGAAAATAAACAACCAACAAAAACAACAACAGTAGCAACATCCAGCGCCAATCACCATCAACGGGAGGGATTTGAAAGAGGTTACTTCATTCACTTATCTACGGAACATTGTCTCAACTACAGGACGAACGGATGGACGAGGATGTCAAATCGAGAATCGGGAAGGCGAGAAACACATTCATCAACCTGAAACCAGTCTGAAAATCTTCGTCACTCAACTCAGTATCAACAACAAAATTCGGATTTTCAATACAAACGTCAAGTCAGTCAATTTTTCTATACGGATCAGAAACTTGGCGGCGGGTCACAAAGAATATTTCCAGCAGCCTGCTGCAGACCTTCATCAATAGCTGTCTTCTCTGGCTCTATACTGAAGATCAGATGGCCGCCGGAAAGAATCACCAACAAGAAACTATGGGAACAAACAAACAAAACGAGAACCAATCGCCCAACAAATATGCAGGAGAAAGTGGAGATGGATTGGACACTCGCTGAGGAGGCCGCTGGGTGACATCGCGTGTCAGGCCATAGCTCGAGTGGAACCCGAAAGGGAAGTGGCGGCGAGTGAGACGTCCAAGGGTGACATGGATGAGATCGTGTGAAGAGGACATTAAACAGTATGGACTGACACGGATACAAGTGAAAAGTACAGCAGAAGACAGAAGCAAGTGGAGACGTGTAGTTGAAGCCCTATGTTCCACTAGGAACCCAAGGGAACAATAATAATAATAATCTTTTCACTTTATGTTACCTTATTCTAACGATTTATCAAGTCTACTTTTTTGACATTTCACTCAACTTATGTCGTCTCCATCATATTATATTCACACATTCCCATTTTTGAATGTATTTTTCCAATAATCTATTTCACACATGTCTATTGAATTTCAAGTTGACCTTGATTTATTTAGTTATTCGTTCATATATCTGATCCTATAAGCCAATATTATTATAGCATTTTAGTATTTACAGTCACTATCAGACTATAACATACACAAGAAAACTGACTGTTATTTTCTCTACAATTGTACAGCTTTGAAAATGAAATCGTCAAAAATAGAATTCTCTTCGCTGATTTCTTTGTTTTTATTTCTCAGTGAGGATTATTAATTTAATATAGATATTGCCACACATTGTCCAAAAAGACCATAAAACTATCATGTTCCGAATAAACTATCTAAAACCTATAGGAACCATATACTCTAAACATCTAAAGCCAAATTGATTCACTTAAAACAGACGGGACTTTGTGTACAATAGAAACAAGTCCAGATAACTGTTACTACCCTGACCTACAGTGGAATCTAAAAATTCATCAAGTTCTGTATTAAGTCATATTTTTGAGGTCTGACATTCTCTCTTGTGTGTGTGTGTGTGAATCCCACTTATCCCTGTACTAGCAAATCTCCCCTTTTGTCCATAAGCAGTGATTTTCTTCTCAGATGGTATCTTCCAAATTAACCTCGGATGACCAACTTGCCATTTAAAATTCGGGTTCCATTCGAGGGTGCTTTCACTCAATAGCCTCTTCAGCTTATCTCCATTTTCTTATGGATATTTCCCAGGTGACAGGGTCTTGGTTGGTTTGTTATCAGAGTTCCTTGTTCTTAATCCTTTCTGACCATCTAATCTTCAGTTTCGAGCTAAGACTACCTACTGCAATATCCCATAAGATAACTAAAAAAAATCATAACTGTAGCCTTTAATTAGAGAAGATAATTGACTAAGCAGAATAAGATGCTGTGAAGAACCAAACAAACGAATCAAAGTGATTGCAGCAGTCAGTTCAAATGAAAAAAGCAGACTAACCAAAGCCAAGCCGGCACCGATGTCTAGAATGACACTGCAACGTTTAATAGTCAGACAGATGGTAATTAAGTGGTCAATTTAAGGTGAACATTAATGTCCTAAGATGAATATATTTACACTCATTTCAAAATAACATACATCGCAGCCTCTAGATAGTAAGTGTCAGTAGTGAAAATATAAATAATTGTAGCGTGTACATCAGTTTACTGGAAATTCAGAATAGATTTTCACTCTTCTCTAAATGACTTTACTCACTACTACTAACTCCAATGATATTCCTAATCGCGATAGACTGAATAATGCGACAGACAGCAGCGGGCAACGAGAAGAAAGGCACAAAATGGACCCACACAAAAACTTGGAGGAGCTGGATTTAGCCGATGATATATGTCTGATTTCCCACAAACTGGAAAACATGCAGGTGAAAAGTGACAATTTGGCAGAACATGGGTGAACATAGAGAAAACAGACGTGATGGAGATTCCTGGCCAAAAGTGACAGCAGCAACAACGACGACAGACAACTATAAGCATTAGTGGAATAAATCTGAAAGAAGTAAACTCCTTCACCTACCTATCTACCTACCTAGGAAGCATCGTTTCAACTGCAGGTGGACGGAAATGATGAGGATATAGAAGCAGCGAGGATTAGGAAAGCAAGACAAGCTTTCATTACTCTCAAGTCTGTGTGAAGGAGATCAACACCACTCAACATGAAAATGAAAATAAGATCCGGATTTTCAACTCTAATGTGAAGTCAGTGCTACTATACGGATCAGAGACTTGGCGAGTCATGAAGGGCACTTCGAAAAAACTACAGACCTTCATCAACAACTGTTTTCGTTCAATACCACTCAAGATAAGATGTCCGGCTAGAAAAGATCAGAAACAGGAATCTCTGGCAATGAACGAACCAACCCAACAGGAACCAATTTTGCAACAAGTATGCAGGAAGAAATGCAGCTGGATTGGTCATACTCTGAGGAAACCATCAAGTGATATTACACGACAGTCTCTCTGGTGGAACCCGAATGGGAAGTGGCGAGTTGGTCGTCAGTGGGAGGGTGGCACGGAAGAGGAGGTCATGTGAAGAGGAGATGAAAGCATGTGGGCAGACTTGGAGCCAGGTGAAAACGTTGGCACAGAACCGAAAGCAATGGAGAAGTGGGCGGCTGAAGCCCTACGTTCCCCTAGGAACCAAAGGAAACAGTAATAATTATAATAACTAAATTAACACTATGGAATTAAATGTAATCAATATTTTTAAAATTGGAGCTTACCTTCAAATCTTTTATTAACCAATCAAATTGCATTACTAGAGTTTTCCATCCATAAAACAGAAAGTAATACAATTCACTAGAGAAAGCCACAATATGTGCAGGTCCAACATTGAAACTGAGATCAAATGAAACAGATTTTAAAAAAAGTTATTAGTGGCAATAACTAGGATAACGTACTGACGAATACCATTTTATTTAAACATCATATTCAGCAATTTAAATACGCTGAAAATTCGGTACTGTGTGTCAGCCCAATGTACAGAATACAGCCATTGTTATTATCTGAAGTCAGAACATAGATCGATATCAGTTAGAGAACCATTGAAAATCAGCTGGGAGTACTGGACAGCTGTCTAGTCAGCTTAGTTTGGGACTCATCGGCAGTACGCACCCATTGGGGTTCGGACCTGGGACCTTCCGCTAGTGACTGACTGCAGGAAGAAGAAATGTAGTGACAAGTGAGGTTCATCCAGTCAGAAGTGACGGTATAGTTCCCGCCGATGACATTGGTTGGTGCCAGTTGCGCTAAAATCACGAATTGGTAGAAGTTATAATCCATGGGCTGGCTACTGAATTGGGCCGCAGTGGCTGAATCGTGTACGAACTTACGTTATAACCGGAAAGTCATCGGTTCGAAACCAAGTGGGTGTATACTGCTGGTGATTCCCAGGCTAGGATGAAACAGCTGTGCAGTACTCCCTGGTTTTTAATGGTTCTCTAACTGATATCAATCCGTGGTCTAACCTGAACAAATAGAATCCCTACAAACTAATTCTTGAAAAGTTTTATTGTCATTACTGACTGCCTACAATCATCTAATATGAAGGTGAGTCTCCGTTAATTGACTGATATACCAAGGAACTAATAGTTAGACCTCTTATTTGGTGCTGTCCTTGTTCGTAGGCAGCTTGCTGAATATGATTTTTGCACAAGTTATATTTCTTATCTAAGTAATCCTTTGTCATCATTGGTTTACGTAAGTCAATGTCATAAAAATATGTATAAATTGATTATCTACTTATTTGAATTCAGTAGTGTCATAGTTTGATTATGATCTTTGAGAGACACAGTAAAGCTTGGTTAATGGATGCTTCATGCGTATCAACACATCAGTCATGCAGTTTCTACCTACATTTTTGTTAGGAGAACCTCGAGGTAGTTTGGTCTTCTTCTTAAGACCCGCTTTTTAAACATTTTATGTTTTACAATAGATTTGATGTTTTAATGTTTTACAATACCTTATTTAGATTATAGTTACTAACAGTGGAATTCAGGATGTGCATTTACCTCTATTTGGGATTTACAAGCTAGATCTACTTCCATCGCCACTGAATGATCGTCTTCCCACTGGAGACTGGAATCCACTATTCATCTTTTTAAACGCCACTATCACTCACTTACTCAATTGGAATGCAAGTACATCCAGATGATAAGTCCCAAATAGGATGAAACGCACATCCTGGATTACATTTCTATCTATGGTGAACAAAACAACATCTTCATTATAATAAAGATTTTCTTTGTATTTCCCAATGAATTAAAAGCAAAACGATATTGTTTTAACTGATGTTTCGCTACTTAATGCTAATAGCTTCATCAAAGTATCAGTAAACCAGAATTTACAAAATCCACTCAGCATATATATAACAACTTAATCATCCTTCCTCAGTATGGTGTAATTTTTACGTCGTCAAGTTGACCAATTGGTAAAGGTAACAAAACAGGTGTAGACTGTTGGATTTGATAAGTGTGTAAAATTATAAAAAACAGCGTGTGTTTACATAATGAAATTGCTTATCACATTCGTGTTGATTTTGTCATTTCATGAGGGGGAGACGGGTGGTGTTGTAACTAGGTCAGATTCTGTTTAAGTACATCATTCCTGTTCATCAGACAATTCGGATTCCACTTGATATGATGTGCTTCTCTTGATATTAGACTCTCTTTGTGATTTCTGAAGTTTTTCCGGATTATTTCAACATTGTCAAAATCAATTTTGTGGCCTGATTCTATAGCGTGTAGACCTATGGATGTTGGTTTTTGAGGCTCTTCTATTTCAACTGGATTTCTCGGTGGTCAAACAGATGCTCTAAGGTGTTCGTTTCTTCTGATTCTGATTTCTCGAAATGCCTGTTCGATGTATATCGCATCACATTACAAGCATTTTATTTTATAGACGCAATTAGATAAAGAATTCTTAGGGATATGGTCTTTTATATGGACAAGGTTTTTTCACAGTGTTTCTGATGTTTTGAATAAAACTCTGATGTTGAGCTTATTGAGTACTCTTCCGATATTGTCTGACGACTCTGATGGTCTATATTCAATGACAACTGTTGAGGGTCATGTTTTCCGAATACGCTTTCGACCATACTTAATGTCAGTGTTGATATTGTTGATGAAGTTCTCTGGGTAGTTATTTTGCCTGAAAGTCTCAGTAATGTTTGATATTTCTTCTTCTTTTTCCTTTTCATCCGTTAACATCAAAGAGTGTGCCCGTCTAAGAAGACTTGAAACAACTGATACCTTTGCAGTGATGGGGTGTGATGGTCCGAAATCTAAATATTTGTTGGAGTGGGTTTTCTTCCTGAATGTAGATATACTAAAACGTTCGTTTTCCCTCCTCTTAACTAGCCAGACAGTCCAGAAATAGTATTTCACCGACGTCTGATTCTGCTTCCGATGTAAACTAGATGCTGGGAGATATATTGTTCAGTTTCTCTAAAAATGAACTGTGTAGACCTCGTTTTAGCACTCCAAAGGTATCATTAACGTATCTTAACCATATTTTAGGAGTGAGTGTGTTTCAAAAGATGTTATCTTCGAATCTGTTCATGAAAAGATCAGCGGCTATTGGGGAAACTGCTGAACCCATAGCAACACCATCTTGCTAAACTTCAGATATCGTCGAAGCGACCCACTGTTTCAGTCCATCACGAGTTAAGCAATGGGGAACGTCTAATAACTTTGGAGAAATGTCAGTTTCTCTTAGTACTTTCTTAGGCTTAACAGGGAATAATATAATAATAATAAAGGTAGAATAATCATGACCATTTGCGTAAACGTTAGAATTTTGATTGGTGTTGTTTTTTTATAAACATTTAATCAATAATTCACCTGTAGAACTGTGATTCTCCATCTCCTCCTGGCATATTAAATCTTGCCTTATAATTTGAAAAGTTACTGAAAAGACAAAAAGAAAACATGAAAAATGAGGTGAATATTAAAACGCATGAAATGCTTTTAGAGGATTAGAACCCTTTCATAACAAGGCTGATTTCTTCACAAATTAAAGTCGTCTAGAGAACTACTGTTAACTAAGGAACTCAAGACTACTGTTTCATCCTAGTTCGGGATGGTTTGTAAATATGTGACTATGACCAAACTATTGACAAAACAGAATTAGTGACAGAAGGTGTCATTCATCAGCCATTGGACTCTAACTCTTTGTCTAGAAGGTAAATGTGCTCATGGCATAATCCAGAAGTCCTGGATTCGATCACTGTTGATTATGACGTTGTGTGGTGTAGAAGAATCCCAAATTAGGACGAAACAGTAATCCGATGCTGTCAGGTTTCATTGTTTCTTTAAGTAAAGAGAAAATCTAACTTTACAGTGATCAAATCCTTATAGATTAGCACTTCAAATAGTTGGACTAATGGAGTAGCATAGTAAAGTTACGCCCATCCGTAACACCTGATTACAACCAAGTTGAAATAATGTCAGAATAGACAAACATAAAGCATCCATAAAAATCAATACAAAACCACAAACAAAACATTTAACATTAGAATAAAGACAATTTATCTATCGTATTTACATCGCCAGAGTTGAAGATATTGAACTACAACCCGACCAAGTTAAAGTTAAAGCACCTCTAACTACCAATCAGCGAATGACTTTGAATGGTCCAATGAGTTTCATCAACGTGAGTTGAAGGTTTTATACCGCTTGATTCGAATCAAATATCAGGAAAGGTAAGCTGATGATTCTAGTGTTCCGTAGGTCAACTTTCTGCCAGCTCCCATTTGTCCTTAAACCAAATTTTGTATTTTTGTAGTTACCGGGTTTTGAAACAGCCTGTGACAGGTGTAGCTGCTGAAACGGAGAAGATAGTCCCCTATCAACAGTTCAGTGGCACTAGCACTGCAGAGATATCGCGTCATGGAAAATGGAGAGAATTACTTCGTTATTGGAAACAGAAAGTGTCATCTTACACGTGGATGAGTGGGAAGGTTATAACTGCCTATCATCCCCTGGATATATTCACCACAGAGTGGACCATTCTAATGATTTTGTGGATCCCATTACAGGGACACATATCAATTCTATAGAAGGCTTTTGGGGATGGTTAAAAAACAGGATCTCAGACGGATATCATTTATAGTCATTTAGATTAATATATGTATAGAATGTGGCGTTGCTTTCCAGTTGATACTCCTATGCTCAAATGGGAGAAGTTTTTACCACATGTCACAGAAAGGTATCCCATGAAACATTCTTATGCAGTTTTCAAGCATTTTTTTCCATAAATATATGTTTTCCATAACCAGATATGCCTCTTTCACGTGACTGGCTCGCTGAAGGTCGTTCGCTGATTGCCAGTTAGTGGTGCTTAAAGTTTAACTTTGCCAAACTTTTATATGCTTCCGGTTGAAGATGACATATATATACCAGCAATCGCAAAACCAATAATATTCTCAAAAAAACTACATACTACTGACTGATTCAGATTAGTAATTGTATATCACTCATTTGGTGTAGTACTGCTTGCTAGCCAGATAAAGGCGATCTAAACACCGGACACCGCCAAGCTCACCATTGGTGTACTCGAACCCAAATAGGTGAAATGGCCGTACGGTTGTTTTATTACCATTTACGGCATCAAGCAGGTCACATACTGAAGCAAAAAACGAGTGGAACACCTATTCGTCGTTCGGATCCTCTTGATCTGTCTGACAAGCACCCCTGCTGATTGATATGAGTGGTTTTCAACTGCTAATATCGGTCAGTAGTATATACATTATCATGGTTTATAGATTTCTGTCTAATCTAGCAGTTGTTTTGTGATTATTATTTCCGAGTGGAACATAAGGCTTCAATAGTGAATCTCCATTTGATCGCGTTCTCTGCCGTCCACTTTAACTTGATTCATCACTGCCTACAGGTCTTCCTCTCCTCGTCTCCTCTCCTCCTTCATACTGCAACGACAGAAGACAACGGCCATTCAACAGAATGCCTATTCATTCAGACATCTATAAAAAACACAAAATAACTGAGCAAAGAATATCCCTCTCCGTAATTTCATTTTCTCGCTCTACAATTATAAATAAAAATGTTTATGTACATAGAATATTCTAGAATAGTAGCCAATATCAATATTAGTGTTTTTAAGTAAAATCGATTCGTTAAGTAAGATTAATGGAATTAAAGTTCATTAAAGATGCTTAAACAATAATAATAATAATCCAATAGCAAATAGAACATCAACTAAAATTAAGAAAATTCCACAAAAATTGAGGATCATTCAAACCTAGGTGGCCAAGGTAATGATAATGTCTGAACTAACCTATTTTGGATGCATACTGCATACCTACAAACCTCAATTTCGTCTTAAGAATTCGACTACTAAATATTGCTGAGGCTGTGGAGATCCATAATAAGATGCCTAATTTATGTGTCTAAAAGAAGCTAGTTCAGACATTATCCTTACCCCACTGGCCATCTTGGTTTGAATGATCTTCAATTTTTGGGGAAATTTTTCTAGTTTTAATTGATATTTTATTCGCTACTATATTTTTATCATTATTATAATTTAAGCATCTTCAATGAATTGTAATTCCATTCATCCTTCTTTACAAATCGGTATTATTATAAAAACACTAATATTGACTACCCATCTAGAATATTTTATGTATATAAACATTTTTTATATATTTTTTTGATTATGGCTTGAAACCACACAGTATTTTTGGTACAAGTATGGAATTTTCAGCATATGATATCGGTAGCCCGAATTTTGCAGGCCGACCTTTGATATCAGGCAAGGGATCGAACCCCGGACCATGTGCATGGTCGGTGAGAGTCCTAACCACGCACAAAGAGGAGGCGGTCTCCACGTGTGGACCGGGCTGTCACATGGCCACAATTCACAGTCGCTACCCCGCTACCGCACCATGTGGGGATATATATAATTGTAGAGCCAGGAGAGTAAATTATCGAAAAGGATACTTTTTTCTCAATTAGATTTTTTATTGACAAAATCAACAGATATTTATACATTTTTATGTAGATTATTACTCGTTATTAGTAGCAGAGAGGTAATTTCTTCTGATTGGTCGTTTTCTCATTGGGAGGTTATTCTGTCATCTCTTTGTGGCCGTTTCTTAGATATTCCGTTGATATACCTGCTAATCGTATCCGCTCACCCTCCGTCTGCTGTGATTGGTTGTTGAGTTAGTCTTTGTTCTTGTTTTTTTCTCATGATCAAGATTTGGGACGTAAGCATTGACGTAAATTGCTGTCTACCAATTTCGGCTAGCAGACAGCTATCACCGCAATACCACCTTCAGATGCCCAAACGGTTATTTCCCATTCAGGTTCCTTTTGAGGGCTTGCCTGGTGCGGAATGTCATTCAACGGTCTTCTCAGCATGTGTCTGATCACTCTCCATTTTCTTCCAGATATTTGTTGAGGAGAAGGTTCTTGATTAGTTCATTCTCAGAATTCTGTGCTGCTAATTCTTTCTAGCTAGCCATCTGTTCTTTATTATTGATTCGGAGAAGTCAGATGTTCGAAATGCTTTTCATGATTTATTCGCCAAGTCTCTGAATCATATCAAAGCACTAGCTGACTTGACACTAGTGTTGAAAATCTGAACCCTGTTTTTTTATGCTGAGTGCAGAAGATTTCCAAATTAACTTCAGATTAATGAAGGTCGATCTTGTCTTTCCGATGGTGTCTGGCCTTAACATCTTCATCCGTATCATCCAACTTTAGTTGAAACGATGCTGCCTAGATAAGTGAAAGATGTCACCTCTTTTGGATTTATCCCATTGATGGTGAGTTGGTGATTTCATACATTTAATCCCTTTAATGAATTTGAATAAAGCGAGAACTACAGCTTTTGCTGAATACAAGATGGTACCATCCTTCGTTTATTTCGTTGGCTTCCCATCAGCTGCTTACAGGCCAAAGTCATTATTAAGTATATCTACAGAAACAATTTTAACATACTTGCACAGAGTTCATTTTAAACAAAAAAAAATCAATATACGCATACAGTAATTATATATACATATATACATAATATTAAACACTACTCCGAACAATAGTGATCATACACAGTGGAAACTTTCGACATTACGTATTCAGATGAAAGAGAGGTGAAAATATCCAGTTACCAGAGCAAAGAAAGACTGATAACTGTTTCTTTCTGAACGCACAAATCAGGTTTCAGCCGCTTGATGGAGATGGCTTCAGCAAACTTGAGGAGAATTGAACTCTTTTGCCTATTGATAATTTTGAATGATTTTGCGACGTCCACCTCATGACCCGTGTCAAGGAGATGCCTGGCGATGGCACTGTTTAAAGCAATTGTTCCCTTTAGACATAAGCTTTCTGGTACATATTCAGAAAATCGTAGATATGCCCTTCTTCATTTTGTTCTTCCAATGTAACTTCTCCCGCAGATACATGTAAATTTGTATATGCAGCTGGAGTTAACATGAGAAGGATATCTATCGATTTTTGATTGCACCAAAGAGCAAGTTGTTCGATAGACAGGAACGACCTTAGCTGTAGGATAGGCTTTGGCTAGTGACGTACTCAGTCTTCTGTTGACCATTGCTGCAATGTTTTCACCTTTATAATCAAGTTGAATGTGGATGGGCTTTTTACTCACTGTGATTTGCTTGACATTTAAGCCCTCAAATCTTTTGCACTTCTTGATGAACGAACCTTTGAGGGTAACCATTCCTATTCAACATCTTTTCAAGAAACATAAATTCTTCCTCTAATTTCTCTATAGAGCATATTTTCCTTGCTCTATGATTGTTGGTGATTGCTTTTGTTGTTTTTTGCTTGGCTTTCTTCATCACTACTCTTTGATATCAGTAGTATAGAACTACTCACTTCAGTCAATCAGTAGTCTATATAGTTTTTTATGCAAATATGCTTGCTTT